TAGCAGGGTGTCAACATTAAGACAGGCTGGGTGGGAAAGAAGTGTCGCGTGGAGTGCTTTCACATGCATATATTCATTCACCTCTTTCTTTCACACATTATGTTCAGAATGTGTACTAAGCAGATTTTTATAAAGCAAATTTTATTCATCAAATCCCCTGATATTAGAAGCTCAATGCAAACGAGACGCCTAACAAAGCAACGTATGACCCTGCACGCGAGGCTTTGTAAATGCAATGCTATGCTACTGTATCCAGTTTTCCTGTTTCCTATTCATGCCCAAGGCCTGTATTTCCAGGGTATATGCCTTCATGAGTGAACGAATGCAAGCCTCCGTGAGATCCCAATCTACATTTCCTATCCGAAACGCCTGAAGCCTGAATTGGGTGTGCGCCGTGAGGTATCCGTACATGCTAGAAAGGAAAAGGGGAACCAGTTGTCGGGTATATGACTTTCGGGGAGAAATTGTACAGAGAGAAGAGAAGTTGACTTGTGCTCAACACCAGCACCTTCATGTCTAGCAGATCAGAACCGTCCCCTGTATTCTCGTCTTGCCTGGCCAGTAACGCGGGCCGCCCGGACCTTCAGAAATCCTTGGACCGATGTGACAGGAACGAAGGAAGTTGGAAACGAATGTTCGGGGGACGTTGCTGTTTGCTTGGTTGGTACAGCGGTGGCGGTCGCAGAAGTTGACGCCTGGGAAGTAGCGCCACCATTGCTGTTGTCACCGCCCATAGTGACAGTGAAGTATTTGGTGACCGTTTCAGGCTGTGCAGTGACGGTAACTGTCTTGACGTCTCCATGGTGCTTGCTCTTCTTTGTAGATGAGGGAGCCGAATCAGTTGAAGTGGTAGCATCGCTAAGCCCGGTGGGTGCAGGGGGGCTGTTGGTGCCGATGCCCAGAGTCGTCGCCTCGATGAGGTTATGAACCTGAGATGAGATGGCTGCACTCGCAATGTTGTTGTTGTTGCCAAACTTGATTGCCTTGATTCCTTGACTCTTGGCTGATCCGCTAAGATCAATCTGCGCGCATGTGGTGTAGATCTCGGTCACGTTCTGGGTATCCGAGATGATTCTGGGCCAATCCCACACCCACATCAGCGTATATGTACCGTCGGAGGGTAGGTCAGCTGGTAACTGAATATCGGTTTGACAGGGTAGCTGTTCAACGCCGTACTTTGATTTTCGCTCTTGAGCCAAAGCGATTCCTGGAGCGTCTTGGTAGCACTGCCCGTCATCAAAGTAATGGGTAGCAATGAGTTTGCCTTTCTTGTTTCCACCCGTGCCGTCAGCAGTCCAGGAATTAAGCACGTCATTGATCCCGTCGGTATCTTGGTGCTGTGTTGTGCCGTATACGTACACATTCCCGCCGCGATACGGCCTCGGTGTCAAGTCAGGCTGTGTGACATGGCCGTTCTCCTGGTATTGCATCGCGATGTAGTCACCGGCACCAGCTTTCAGAGGGGGATACTGAATAGCATCGCTCGATGACAACGGCTTACAAATGGCCGGGTTTGTCGAGGTGTCTAGTATCTTGGTCTGGTGCACATCATCCGACACTCCTTGAGATCTAGGGATGTAGCCGATAGGGTAGCCTGGATCGCCGGTAAATGACCCATCAGAATCGATGCGGTATAGGAACTCAACCCAGGTGTGGGCATTTGTGGTTGGCGCCGCAGCCAGCAGCGATATGGCGGCGAAAGTGATGCTCTTGAGACTCATTTTCGTAAGAAATAAAGTGGCGCGAAGGCCTCGCCTGCGAGACCGAGACTGGAGATGAGAGAATGAAAAGGTTGGTGTGTATGATTGAAGATTGTATGCGCAACTGTTGGTACCGAAGGGTTGCAGTATCCTGGTGTCAAGAACATGCAATTTGGCGCAGCGTTCGAAGAAATCTAGTGGGAGAAGAAGAGAATCGAAAAAGTTGGGGCCTGGGCCCAAATGCCGAAATGTATATACGGGAAAAGGACAGAAGTTGTGAGAAATCAAATGAGGTGTTTGTGAACAGACGCGCAGCGTCAAGGGTCGGACCAATCTGTTTAAAGAAGAAGAACGAGAACAAGAGTCGAGTTTTCTTTGGGCTTGGCTTTGATCGAGGAACAATAGCCAAACAAGGGACCTGTTTGCTCTGCACTAATTCGAGGGTACAAGAGAGGGGGCCGCAGAGTTGGGTGACTTCTGAAAGAAAGGAAGAAAGAGGGGCTCTAAGTGTCCTGTGGCTTGACGTGGCTCTAGATGTGGGAGAAGTAGGATGTGGATGTGTTTGTGTGTTTGTACACACAAGAGAGGACAAAGGAAAAGTCTATAACTCGAGATGCCAAGAACAAGAGCGACACAAGGATACTTAGCAGAGAAAGGAGGGGGGTTATATGAGGGGTGGTCGACAGACTACCTAACCTACTCGGACTTGGAGAGACGTGGTGATCAATCATGAACATGGGAGCGGCATGCGGTCGAGGTGAGCCGCCTTCTTATTATCGCAGGCCTTTCTTGTTGGCTGTCGGCTGCCGGCATGGGTCCATCACGGTCAGTCTAGTCAGTCTAAAGCTACCTATTAGTCTTCACCGTCATCGATCATTGTCACCTCAAGCCACCTCGACCCATATCGGAATAACGACGAAAATGACAAATTCTAGCGGCGCGAATATCAGGTTATAGACCAACGTCCCGTCTTACTTCCGCAGTTACACGCCCGAACTATACGATTTCAGTGTCATGGCGTCTTGGGTCTAAGATTACTACGGCCGTTGGTCTGTGGCCAAGGCTTTCTCGTAGACGCAGAGAATGTGGAGCGTAGCGAGATGCTGTCTACCCGAGTAGCAGGGACTAACAGATGCACGACGGGCTAGGAATTCTTTTCGAACCGACATGGGCGGTTTGAGCGAGGCACTTACGCGCGGCAGTGGTTCGAGCTGGATCCGTCGTTTCGGTGTTGTGAGGTTGAGAAAGTGCTGTGGCACAAGAGCAGAGAATACCGAAGGCGACAGGGTTCATTGTGGGGAGCCAAAGCCAAAGCAGCCCAAATTCAGCATCGACGGCGTCCTCATTGGCTACTGAGAGTTTAAGGTGCTACACTACGGTGGACAAGGGCCATCAGGGGCTCTGCGCGCGCTTAGCTAGCGGCCAATTGCTCCTTGTCACTTCCACTGCTGTTTATATGGAGAGTGACTTGGTGTTTCACACTCGACTTGACTCGGTTAACCGTTAGGATATGGATGGGTACGTACCTACATGATCCCCATATTTAGCCTCTAGCTCGGCTCCACTCATTCCATCTTTCTTATTCCCTGTTCTCCCTTTCCACCAACCATTCTGTGTGGGATACCCTTGTTTTGTAACTGGCGACAGTGAACAAGACCGCGTCAAGACAAATTTACCAAAACCTCATTAAACAGTGGCGGCTATTTCTTTGGCCATATTCAGCCACCGTCTTGTCAAACGCCCTACTTTTAAAAGCCCTCGGTGGTCATGAGTAACTATGTTGGCTTCCGAAGCCACCTGTTACATTGCAGATGCGCGCGCCTACTGCAACTCCAAGAGCACAGAATCTATGCGATAGCACCTACTGACTGACATAGGTACAGGACACTAGCTGTCGTTCTCTAGCATACCCCACGAGAGCGTCAATTAAAATGAGAGCGCTTCTCGCCTGAAATTTACTCGGACCGCTCAGGTGCAACTGCCCTTAGTTCTTCGCTTCCTCGCATTCGCAATTTTGCGCACTAGACCCGCGCGCCATTGCCTTTCTCACATGAGCGCGCCCGCCATCTTGTTCATTTCCAGGTTTCAAAGTCAGGTCGCTTTTCTGAAATCTTTGACCTATCCTTGTCACTCGCCGAAAACGACCCCCATAGTCCTTTATGTTAAACAACGGCCCAAGACGGGCTATCTCGATAATTCAGAGAGGTGGGATAATTTAGGCTGGTCGCATCGGATCGGGTAGTGGTTACTAATCGACAGATCTCGTTTGATCGTCTTCCATGCGTCATCTAATGCAAGCTTTCACGGACTCATCTCGCTGCGAACGTGCACGACATACCAGTACACTTCTATCTTGGGGCGACAACCTTGACAGGTGCCAGTTCATGCAATAAGGGAGGTCGGATGCAACCGAACCAACGTTGGTCGTTAAATTCAGCCTTAATTTTGTCTCCTGGTCGCACCCAGTTCGCCTGATGCGCTTTATGGTCACTCTCGAGTCACTGAAACAAACTATTCAGCACGCCAGGTCCGATTGTCTTTCACGTTTAGATGTTCACCATGACCCAGCATCGGCCAACCAAGTATTCAGTTGCAAGGCAGTCTGCGCACGACGACCCCAACCCCAATGATGGTGGAATAGGTCACAATTTCACCACCCTCGCCCCAATCAACCGATAATCTACCCTTCGCATTCGTGACATTTGCGGTTTCAGAAACGTAGTAACGCATCCAAGGCACTGAGAGATACCAAGTGCACGTGTAGTATACTCCCGAGTATAGTAGTATGCCCCCGGTCACCCCATCAGCCACCCCCGGACGATCATCTAATCCTAGGCGACTGACTCCTTGCCAATACATGGATCTCATGTCTCAGATCTGCCAGTTCCCAGCGTCCAAGAGTGGACAATGCTCCAAATCGGCTACCATTTCGTAAAACAATTGCACCAAGCTCCACAGAGCGTGTCGCGAATAGAGTGCGTACTTCCATCTAATGTTTTAAATAGATAATATAACGTCCATAGACACGTGCAAGATAAGCCTATCTAGCGTGATCTATGCCTCACCTAAGATGGTCCCCACCGATCTTCAGTAATTGAAGTTGAGTGCATCACAGTGTTCAGAGGAGCTTAGAGACAGTGCGTACCTGAAGTAAAATGTGTATACTTAGATGTCATTCGATTGCTTCGATTGCTTCGATTACATCGAGACGTAGTCAAGTAGTGTATATCAGCCAGAGGAGTTATAATTACTTAACTAAGCATCATATTATACACAAGTCAATTTCAATGCATCAACCGGGCCCGCTTGGCTAAGTGGTATAGCGTGTCACTAGTATTCTAGATGTCATGACAAGATCAGCGGTTCGATTCCGCTAGTGGGCAGCAATCATAATTTTCTTTTTTCTCTTTCTCCCTTCCCATCTGAGTTCTATCAGTCAATTAAGCTCCCCGTCTGTATTGTTTTCTTGTTGTTTCTTTCTAATGGGCAACGACATGGAACGATTATAGTTCACATTTTCACTTACTCTCCAACCGTAAGTACGTAAGGCAAGTCTTACTGCGCTGTTCATTGAGACCATGTTCTCGCCTCCTGAGATTTCCGTCTCTACTGGGACCCTATTGTTGTTTTCGAAAAACCCGGTTTCGAGTGTGACCTTCATGTCGGGCGGAAAGTCTTGAAAAATATTTCTTGCTTGCTTCATTTCCACATCCCCACTGTCTGTCGCGGAGACACGAGTTTGAACTGATGCGCCTGGATCAACTGCAAGGGACTGTATCTGTTCGACGCCGCCACTCAGCTCTTCTACACGCTATTTGAGCATCTCCCTTGCCCAGTCTCTGATCTGTCAAAACTTTTCTTCGGGCTCTTCCTTGACGATCTCACTCGCTCCGCGTCCTGGCGAGACGATACGGTTGAAAAATATAATTCCTACTCCATCTCGACCTACACGACCGGGTGGAGGTGGCGAGCTATCATCAGCCGAACTATTGTGTGTTGATTCCATGACGACCTGAAAGGCAACTTCAGCTGGAGAGTGAGTCTCCACATGAGCGTCAGACCCCAGGGCGGAGTCTAGAGCGGATAGAAGTCCCTTAAGGACGTCGTTGATAGCATTCTCGTAGTTTGAGCTCGGGTTGGAGCTGGAGCTGTCGCCGTTCTATGTGACTCTGACTCTATTTCGCACGCATGAATAAACGCTTGTCAACATTGGGGAGTACCTCTATATCTGAACAATTTCTTAGCTCAATGCGTCCTAAAGGCTCATCGTTAGCACAAAGGTTGGTCACTCTACGCACGTGAGCTGCCATAGCCATGTACTGCAGTTGACCATCTTCAACTAATGACACAGATGTTGTGGAATACCTAGAGATTAATAACAGAAGGGACAAGGTGAAAATGAGCTTTTTCATCAAAACACGTTCGTCCTAGTGTCTGTTCCAGCAGGAGGTCAGCTTGAGAACGCAGTTATCACAGGTCGGACGGGCTCGGGAAAGGTCCATGTCAGTGCTGGGTGCTTAGTTAGGACTAAGGTAGGCAACCAGCACTAACATGTATATAGGAAATACGAGGTGAAGGGGACATGTAAATGACGATGAAGCCTCATGCTTAGTAGGAGTACAGTTAAATTTCAGTGATGATTTTGCTAAGCTCACAAGCCTCTAGCTCAATTCCTAATACAAAATGCCCCTTGTGTGTATCTTCGGGATAGAATGATTGGTGATAAACCATCACTCGACTCCTTGAGTTCCTTGAGTCTCTTGAAAAATGCCAACTTTTACAAAGGAGTGAATACTACTTTAGTGGAACTCTTCGGAAGCATAGTTGAACGCCAAGTGAACCATCGTGGAGCCTTTTTATCAACAAGATCGAGGTCGTAATTCATGATAATTTGTCCCAGGACGACCTTCATGACAGCAACAGCATAATATCTTCCTGGACTGTTAAACCGTGTTAGTCAATATTTTTACTTTCCATTGAACGCCTCCAGAAACACGCACCATGCCATACGCCCAGTACCCCATACGTGGAAAGACTCATCTACTGTTGTGAACTTGGAATGCTGCCTTTGTAGAGCTTTGAAACTCGAGCCAGCTCGTTGTACTTCCTCAGTCGTCGCGAACCGGAAACCATTAAAGTCGAATGGAAGCGGGTAAGAAATTGGATCTGTCATTATAGCTCGAACAGGTGTACAAGCCCAATCACCCGGCTCAAGTCTTGTACCGTCAGACAGTGTAAAAGGTCGAAGCGCTGCTCGTCGAGTACTCACTGCAGCTGGTGAGTTTTCCTGATGGCTATAGAAATATTGCCTACAAGTGCATTTGAAAGAATTCTTAGAGGAGGACTAAGCACTCACTTGATTCAACAGGTGTGAGGCGCGCCGACTCTTTTAAGAAGCTGTCTAGTAACGGAAGTCCGTCGCCAGCGCATTCAAACTCTGTATAGCCTCGCCGAAGCTCTTCGCGAAGAGGTTGGGTATACTCTGGATGGAGACAAAGGTCCTCGATGGCGAACGTAATTGTCTGCGTTATGTTTTTAAGTTCTTCCCTGCATTGAATACTGATAGATGATTACGAAAAACTTCATTGGAATATGAAACATACTGTAGAAAGCGCATGCACAGAACCAAACCAAATGGCCATCAGCTCATGAATGACTCGTTTGGCAGTCCAGGGGTTCTTCTTCGGTGACGTCTCCATGATCCATTGGATGCAATCAGCCTATATAGCACACATCTGTGTTAGTAACCATTTCCGTAAATGATTGATCATCATGTAGCTTATAGCTTACGTGCTGAGGTGTTTCTTGTCCTAAAATCCTTTGGTTTCTCTCTTTGCACCGCTGCTCTGCAACAGGCAATAGTGTCTCAAAAATGACTTCCTGAGACTTCAGCCTTCGAGCTATTATTCAACGTACAATTCTGATATGATTAAGTGCTAAAATTCAGAACAGACGAAGAAGTTCGACTTACGGAATCAAGAACGTCGGAAGCAGCCGTACTACTTCAGTACATATCAAAGTTTCTTCCACGTACGCCAGTGCTGCTGATACGAAGTCGGTGTTTTGCGCTATACACAGCATTAGTTTGGAACTTTAGACTCACTTCTAAGAGAGGTCTTCGACCTAGCTCTTTTCCAAATAGAATTTCCGGCGTGGCCTTAGCCTCGGTCGCGAGCCTCACGATGTTCAGTAGATAGTCGAACTAGTATGTGAATAAATCTCAAGTGAACAGGAAACTTACTGGTTATGCACTATATATGATATCCGTAGTTGCGGCGCTAAATATCGCGTAGTCCTCCAGTCCTGGAGGCTTCTATACTGAAGTGAACCCCATGGGGGTATGCATTCAAGAGATAGACTACTCTACACTTTCTGAATCCTTCATTTCTTTCGCAACTGCACATTAAAGATGGGGAACTTAGTGATCCCGAGAAATAGAACGCTGTATTCATGTAGTTCGTGAAAAGAATCGCTACCTTGCCTCCCTTTTTCGCGTAGTTGACTGCCTTTGACCCCTTTTATACCACCCTTGCTGGCCAAGCCCATTTTCCCAGCTGACTAAGTCGCTTTCAAGTCACCCACACCACTTCAATCCCAACACTTCAACATTCGTATTATGCAATATGTGGAATTGGACGCTGATCCGCAGGTCTCCTTTGATCGCCAGCTCAATCAGTTTGTCGCCGTTGTCAGAGGGGAGACCAAGATCGAGAATAGGCCAGGGTGTACGGACTCAGAGGGGCTCAGAGGGATCGCAGTAAGTGAGGCTGCCATAGAGGCCCTAAAAAAGGGTGAAGAGGGTAAGGTGACTGTCAAACGATAGTGGGACTGATTTTCAGTTCGAGCAATAAGTGGCGATCATCCATTCGGCGGATCTAGGATTTGGCTGTCGTCGTTTACGATATATTGGCTTCCGTTCGACGATCTGAATCTCTGTATCGGCGCGCCTTTCTAACTTTTATTATCGTCATTCAGCTTACACTTACCCAATTCAAGAACTTCCTAAATAAATAGCAGTTAATCTCGGAACTGCTCAAGAGATTACGGGACTCAGGCCTTCGTTCCCTAGATCCCGAAAACCTGCTTACTTTACTGGCGGGCTTTCAGATATTCGAATTGATGCCCCTCTTCAAGAAAACGTACATTTCCGGGTGATCCATAACTCTAAATGCATCAGGACTGTCTTCCCAAATCATTATCTACTAGCTTCAGCTATAACGAGTGCTAAAGCTCAAGAGCCATATGTACCTAGGTAGTGTCAACGTCCTTTAACATAAGAGGTCCTCGGAAGTAAGCCGGCAGAGTCCTCCCTATATACAACGATGCCTTGAGGGTGTCTAATAGGTATCCCAGCTGGGTCAATGGCCAAACAACTCAATGCGAAAACCCGGGACATCGGATTTCTCTTCACATTGAAGACCGAGACTGGTCTCATTCACACGGAGTCGAGTTCCATTGCCCCGTATTGGTATATAGTCCTGTACATCAAAATGTATATGACGACAGCTTGTACTACGTAGGATCAGAACCATAAGACTCTACGGGATGGTAATTTGGTACTCGAAGTTCAATATCACAATACCGCCATCACAAATTCTTTCTAACTCGGTTGGTGAAGCATGAGCGTGCAGATCCGAATGATGATTAATTCTGAGTGCATGAGCACCGGCTGTCCAGGCTGCAAGACGGCTGCGTCTGCATTTTGGCTCTGGAGATGTAGATCAGTTCCAGAATGGAAAAGACCTGCCTTCTCTTCAGCTGCCGTTGTGCTTGATATGGGCCTCTCCAGGTGAGTGGGAAGTGGCCAGTTTGTCATAAATGGATATCGTGGATGATCTGCAGGGCTTCCTTTCTGGTTTCTCGGGTGTCTACGGGATAATTCGGCACTCTGGAAGATGAAGTGTAAGTTGATAACTCCGTTACAAAATATAAGAGCTAGAATTATGGAACAACGTAGCCATATCATCCAAACAGCATGCGAAGAGAGGAACACCGACACCATACTTCGTGCATACTTCTACATAGACATCTCATAAGAGGGGTATTGTAACCTTGCTCACGTCGGTACCATACTTAAGAAAGTACGTAATTCGTTTTCTGACAAATGGCACAACTTCCATACCACGTCACTGCTGTGGTGAATCTGATTCGCCGCTGACCTTTGCAGGCAGGCTCAGCTCCTGCAGGCGAGTCCTGTAGTCGCATCAATATTGAGCAGAGCCGCATAGGACAAGTTCCCGCTTACTCATCTGCAACTACGTCGAAAATCTACCGTAGGTAGTATCTTATGTAAGTAATATTTTTTTCGCCAAGTTCCCAACATGCGCATGGTATATGACTTTTCGTCGGCGGTGTATGATTATCCTTCCCAGATCATCGCATA